GTACTAGTAGTACTATTGTACTAGTAAAAAAATTAAGATTGTTTTTAATTGATTGACAATTGATGAAAAAAAGGATAAAAAACATTTTCAGACTTGGAAAAAAAAATCTTAAACTTTATTTTCTAGCGTGTACGTCTCCCTCTTGTGGTGAAAAATGCGCAGCGTTTTCTTCAAACAGTCTAAAGGCCCTGACACACTAGACAACTTGAGAAACATTTTTAATGTTTAAATTGCTAATAAGATCTATCTGTTTGATCTATTTGTTAGAGTTACAGAATGTACACGTCTAAAACGAGCTTCCGGTTGATTTTTTCAAGTCCATCTTCAATGTAGACGTCTTTAAAATTTTTATAACTTGTCATAAGTTGTCTAGTGTGACAGGACCTTTAAGCTAAAATAATTAGACTAAATGAAGCGACACTTTGATGAAAAATAAAGGTTTCAGTTGAATCAGAGCAGCATCAGATCATCGTTTCCTCCATGTGTCCCTGTGATGATCTCTGCATCCGTCTGCAAAACCAGAAAAACCAGATCTAAAGCTTTCCTCCACGCTTGCAGCTTGATGCTCAGATTATCACAGATTATCGGTTTTACTGCTGGAAGAACGTCAGTTTTTTCTTCTTTTTCACCCTCCAAGGTGAGCTGGGAGAACTTTGCTGCGATGATTTGATCTGAGTGAATCTCCTGCAGCTGCTGGCTCACAGCGGTCCTCGCCTGGACGGCTGAGGACCTCCCGGTGTTAACGAAAGTGGCGGTTATATAATCGATGAAACCGTCCGCCATGAGCCGCAGCACGTCGCCTCTGTGGACGTCAGTGGGTATTTCCGTTCCGTGACGACGTCCTGCCTGTTCCAGCAGGTGATGAACACAGAGTGTTTCTGCGGCGCCGGCGCCGGGCAGGAGGACCCCGTCCTTCAGGGCGTGGTTCAAACGATGAGCGCAGGTCCAGAACTGATCCTCCAGCGCCTGCAGCTTCCCCCGCACGCAGCTCGTGATGACCGCCGTCACCAGTCCATCCTCCCCGCCGGCGGAGACGCTCACGGCCGCCGCGGACGACCTTTCCAAGCAGGYGAGGTCCCTCTGGACGAACACCTGCGCCCCGGAGCCGACGCTGTGCGCGCTCAGCTGCGTGGCGTACGTCACCGGGACCGCACCGGACGAGTCGGCCATTACTCTTAAAACGGAGGCGTTGATATTTTCCACTACGAGGATGTGATGACGGCAGCAGAGCTGGACTAGCGTCTCGCAGGCGAGCCCCGTGGTCACCACCAGGCCCACCTCCAGGCTCGAGAAGACTCGCAGCACCTTCTCCAACCACTCGTCCTCTTCGCTGGAACCCGCCGACACGAGCTGCTCGCTCACGCGCTGCACGCCCGCCGTCTTCCTGAAGCCGAGGTGGCGATACGCGTGCGACAGATCCCCCTTAATGAGAGCGACCTTCAGGCGTCGCTCTTTGATCCGGTTCGCGACCGAAGCCTGCTGGTGAGACAAGAGAACAACACATCCCTGAAGAACGCAGGCGCGTTCCTCCGACACACCGGGCACGACACAAGTCGTCACTTTTGATAAGTCAAACGTGGGTTCGCTCGGCCCTCGGTTCGCCCTCGACTGCATCTGAACGGCTTCGACCACGAGTTTCATGGAGCCGTCACAACCGTGACTCAACGTTTCGGCAACGCCAGCAACTCCGGCTGCGGGGACGCTTCTGGAGGCGGCCTCACAAAAATGTCTGCTGAGCTTCGTTTTCCTGAGAATCCTGGGATCAGACGTCGTCGTCTCCGACGGCTGTTGTCCTGACCCATGAGGCGCGGCGGCGAGTCTCTCTCTTGCAGCAAGATCCTCGAAAGAAATCGAGGATTTCTTGCAAACATCTACGCAGATGTCCATCCCCTCGGACATAATGGAGATTATCTGCGTAACTGACACTCCTCTCGTGAGACAATCCAGAGCGGCGCGGCTCCATGCGCCGGCAAGAAACAACAAGCATCCTGATCCTGAGCCGGAGACTTTATGATGGGCTCGGATGGTCTCAAAAACCAGCTGCCCCACGGCGCACGTCGGCTCCAGGCTCTCGATGATGCGGAAACACGAGCAGGCGAGAACCGACTCCCCGCTCGTCTCATCCTGAATAAACTTGTATTTTTTATGGGGGCCCACGGAGGAACGAACCACTCCGGCCAGCGCCGACAGTTTCTGCAGTCCGATATGTTGCCGGCCGTTTATGACGGAACTTCCCGGCATCGTCTGTGACGAGCTGCAGGAAGAGGAAACATTTAAGTTAACATTTTTTAAAAAAGTTGTTTAAATGGGTTTCACATAATCAAACTCTATTTTCCTTAACTGTGCAGTTTATTGTTGCACAAAACATTTCAAAAATAAATGTTAAATGCAAAACAAAAGTAGAAAGAGGTCTGGTGGTAACATGTTGAATATTTGACTTGTTTGTATTTTGACTATTACTAGTTGGACTATTTAATTTATATGATAAACAAGACATTTATTTAATATGTGCTGCTGTGACGAATTATAATCTTCAGGAACAATATAGAGTATTTATTTATTTATTAAAGGAAAACTAACACAAATGGGTACTAGCAATTGTACGCTGTAAAAGGTTTTTTGAAAGGCTAACATGTTCAAAACAATCCTAACATTATTTCTGTAAAAATCATGGCGCAATAAACAAATATTTTGTTTGTATTGTCTGGTAAATTAATCCCTTCAGTAACAGCTAAACTTAATAAATCACAAATTAATTCCTATAATAAACGTGTTTTATATCTTCTAAAAAAAATAATACAATTGGTAGCTTTACATCCACTGCATCTCAAGTAATGCAGTTTGTGAATACAAATGTTTTAGTGTTAATTAACATTTCTGCAAGTTTAAATTAAGCTTCAACTAAATGGTACGTTAGCTTTCAAGCTAACACGTAGTACACCATTTTATTCTCAATTCGCTTCGTTTACAGCAATAAAAAATATACAACCTAGTTTTAAAGACGTTACTTCAATGCTACCAATATGTAATAAAAAATAAACAAAAAAAACCCTCGAAACTTACTTTTATTTAGAAATGTAAACAGCACGCTCGGCTCGCCGAGCCAGACGTTTAAAGTGCGCATGCGTGCAGCGTCCTGGTTGCTCGGCGACACGTAACGGCTTGAGCGATTGGAAGAAGCTTCTAAAGCCCGCCTACTGCGCTTTGTGATTGGCTAAAAGGCGCTCCTCTAACTTTTTCCAGGTTCCTATTGGTTATTTACAGCGCTCAACACAACAGCAGCTGCCTGCTTTGTTGACATCGGATTGAGCTCGTGCCGGACAGAGATATCCACTCAAATGGTAAAAAACTTCACATAAATGTCAAGTTTAAAGATGCTTTTCGGTCAATTCTTTGCTTATTTTAGTCGAAAGTTGTGCCTGTTTTAGCTCGTATTGCGGTGGAGCCGCATGTTTTAGTCCTTGCTAAGCTAGCACGATTAGCCGAAACAGTCCACGCTGCTCCAAGTAAACAAACAGTGAATTATGATTATTTTCTCAGGCCTCGTGTAACAGGAAATCAGCTTCTACGTCGAGCCAAAGGACAAAGACCGCGTCCTCCACACTCGACCTGACCGAGGAGCAGATGCAAGAAGTTCGGGAGGCTTTCGATCTCTTTGACACGGACGGAACCGGGACGATAGACGTTAAAGAGCTAAAGGTTCGGTTCGGTCTTTGTGTGATTAAACGCTTTATTTATGCACAGATGAACACGTGTTGTTCCTGTTATTGACGCTACAGGTCGCGATGAGAGCTCTTGGTTTCGAACCAAAGAAAGAGGAAATCAAGATGGTGGTGAGTCAGTTTGTTAAAGGCGGCTCTGGAACGGTTCGTTTTGATGAGTTTCTCAGTATAATGGCTCAGAAAATGGTGAGGGAAAACACAACTTTCACTCAGTGATCAGACGTGCTGTGTACCTTGTGTTAAGTGCACATAATATCCTGTTGTGTGTCCTCATTAATAACAGAACGACAAGGACTCCAAAGAGGAAATACTGAAAGCTTTCCGGCTGTTTGACGACGACTGCACGGGAAAAATCACCTTCAAAAACCTGAAGAGGGTCGCCAAGGAGCTGGGAGAAAACCTGACGGACGATGAGCTGCAGGTCATTCAACACTTTATCGTGTTTTTTAATTTTTATTTTGACCAAACCTTAAATAATGACAGCGATGGCACCAGGTAGGTGTTTGTCAGTAAGGAAGTGTATCTGTCTCTTTTGAGATGTCCTGGTGCATCTCAGTAATCCAGGTAAAAAATCAAAAAGAAAAAAAAATTGTGTAGGTCTTCTGGACKGGTTCTTCTCTAATGAAACGTTTCGTCTCTCCTCCAAGAGACTTCTTCAGTCTGAGAGTTTCAGGCAAAATTCAGGCTTTTAAGCACTGCCTCCATGTGACTGATACTCACATCACATGGCTATCGTTGACACCTAATTAACACCTATTGTTAACAGGGGGTGGAGTGATACTGCCAATGGCAGCTCTGTAGGAGGGGGACAACTGAAAACGGAGGCCTCCACCTCTGTTTAATGATGGACGGTCTTTCTTCTCAAAAATGAAGACCCCAAACCCAGACCCAAACCAGTGGTTATTCCGTATGTTGCGGGTGTTTCGGAGAAACTGAGACGTTTATTTTCTAAACATGATGTCCCAGTGGCTTTCAAACCCCAAAACACATTACGGCAAAGGCTGGTTCACCCCAAAGATCCGGTGCCCCGGCACAAACAGAGCAATGTTGTATATGCTGTTAAGTGCCAGGAGGACTGCGACCAGTTATACATCGGGGAAACAAAGCAGCCACTGTTCAAAAGAATGTCCCAACACAGACGAGCTACATCTAATGGCCAGAACTCTGCAGTTTTCACTCATTTACAGGCCAGCGGTCACTCTTTCAGAGATGAGGATGTTCTCATTCTTGATAGAGAGGAACGTTGGTTTGAGAGGAGTAAAAGAAGCCATTTTTGTGAAGAAAGACCGTCCATCATTAAACAGAGGTGGAGGCCTCCATTTTCAGTTGTCCCCCTCCTACAGTGCTGCTATTGCCAGTATCACTCCACCCCCTGTTAACAATAGATGTTCATTAGGTGTGAACGATAGCTATGTGATGTGAGTATCAGTAACATGGAGGCAGGGCTTAAAAGCCTGAATTTTGCCTGAAACTCTCAGACTGAAGAAGTCTCTTGGAGGAGAGACGAAACGTTTCATTAGAGAAGAACCCGTCCAGAAGACCTATACAATTTTTTTCTTTTGATTTTTTGCCTGGATTACTGAGATGCATCAGGTCAAAATTTGTAGACATTTTTTTTACTTTTTTCTAATTAAATGTATCCAATCACAAATTGGCATCAGACTGATACATCCAGTAACCCCGCCCCCACTAATTTACGATTCCAGACAATCAGATTGGGTGGAATATTAATTTGTTAATAATTTATAGATTGAATCTATTGATCATTTTCCCAGTCTGCCACAGAATTAGGGCTGTGTATTGGCAAGAATTTGGCGATACGATACATATCATGACAGAGGGGTCACGATACGATATATCCTGATATATTGCGATTTTTTCATCCAAATATTCTATTAAATAAAAACCTCTTACAGGGAAAAAAATGAAAAACCAAAATTCACTGTCTCAGAAAATTCTAATATTACATACTGTACTTTTGATACACTTAGCTGTGTTCTGCTTTGTATGTATTTTATTTTATTTGTTTCATATTTCTTATTTCATCCATGTTTTCAATTATTAGACTAAATTTGACAATAAATAGTTTGAAAATATATTTTTTGCAGCTTTTAGTTTTTAATATTAATTTACAAAATGGTCATCCAACAATAGCCTCTACCTCAAGAGGCAGAGGATCCAAATGTCTGGCTCACTGCTGCCAACTAGTGGTCAGAGGCTGAACTACAACATAAAAATGAACGGCTGGCAGAAAAGTTTACATTTTAAAGCTTAACAAAAAAAATCGATACAGGGCTTTAGAGTATCGATACAGTATCGGGAAATGAAATATCATGATATTTCAGTGTATCAATATTTTCTTACACCCCTACACAGAATAGAGTAGAAATAGTCTTTATTGTCCTGCCGAGGGGAAATTCAGGTGTCACAGCAGCATCAGTTCACACACTAGTTACTTTACAAACTATAGACAGTACACAAAAAAAACGAAATTAACACGGACTTGCAATGATACGACTACTAATAATAAAAAATATACCCTGCCCCTCGCACTGTGACTGCTGGATATGGGCACCAGTGACCCACGCAACCCTGAAAAGGAAGAAGCGTGTACAGAAAATGGATGGATGGATAATATAAGGAATTGTGCAAGAATAAAAAAGATGTTTTGTTTTAGAGACAGTAGACTATCAGACATTAGGAATCAGAATTTGCCTATTTTCAGTGCAAAAAATAATCTCAGATTATTAACTGTGAAGTATCACAGAGCAGACAAACACAGATGTACAATTACAGCAGAATTAAAAGTTTAAAATGGGTAATAACAGAGCAGGTGATTGCTCAGATTAGTAATAATATAAATGAGTTGTTCAGATGAGTAATGACAACGAACACTAACAGTACAAATGATTGTGTAGCAGCTGTGTGTAAAGTCTTCATGATTTTTGTAAAGTCTTAGTGATTTTTCGTCGTTGTGCAGTCGGCTCATTTTRATTTTATTTCTCGTCTTTTCAGGAAATGATCGATGAAGCCGACCAAGATGGAGACGGTGAAGTGACCGAGGAAGACTTCCTACGGGTGATGAAGAAGACCAACCTCTACTGAACCTCCTAAAGCGTGTCGTCTRAAACCGAGGCCTTCTTAAAACTGACGTTTGATCCTTGTTCGGTCAGCGAGTTTKTTKTTTTTTTTTCCCTCCCAGGAACYGAGGCAGAGACGTTTTTATGTACATATTTTTATTGAACTGTTTTTGCGTCAAGATTTTTCTACAAATCTAATAAATATTTTGTTACAGGTATTTGTCTGGTGTCACGTTTACTCTTAAAACAGAGTTTTTACCAAGAAATCTGTTCATATTACTTCAACAAAACAAGCACCGACRCCTCACAGTAAGAAGATCCTGGGTTTGATCCCMAGTTTGGACCTGGGGTCTTTCTGTGTGGAGTGTACATGTTCTCCTTGTGCTTGTGTGGGTTTTCTCCAGGTACTCCGGTTTTCCCCACAACACTAAAACATGTACAGTATGTTGCCTTCAGGCCCAGGCCTCCCTTGAAAAAGAGATCTGTGACCTGAACAGGACTTGCCTGGTTAAATAACAGTAAATAAATAAAAATAAACATGTAGACATTTATCACTACTATAATAACTGCAGCAAATCTACATTTTTTTTGTATGTATTTAAAGCGGGCAGCTTTTCTTTCTGACCAAACCTTAAATAATGGCAGAAATTTAAAAAGTGGAACAACTTTTGAGGATTTTTCTGAAATCATTTCACTGTTGCATCTAGCAAAGCACAACCAGCCAGACGTGACTTCAGTTGGTCTTTAACCTGGATGATGTTACTGTAAACAGAAATGACTGGTGCGAACCAAAGATGAGTAACTTAGTAAAAGTCACTCTCACTTCGTGTTTTGACTCGCTGAACTCGGTGGCAGAACGCTGAGCGGACTCGTCTAATCTGCTTATTTCGGTCGCCGTAGAGGAAAGATGCTCTCGCTGATTTTTTGTGACATGCAGCGGAAATCTGGTTTTTTTTTTTCGTCCAAAACAGTCGAACCTTTGTCGAAAAAATAAAAATAAAAAACAGGATATGCGCTGACGTGTTTTTCCGACCCGTCAGACGGCTGTCTTATTATTTTCAGGATGCTTGCCACTGATTGTGAAAGTTGAGATAACCTGTTTTAGAAGACATGGAGAACCTCGGGTGGAAAATCTGAGACGCTTCTCTCAAGGTGAAATCCATGTTTTGGAAACAAAAAATAAAAGTATTCCACAGGGTTCTTGATTACTTTATTTTAGTTGAKCGTGTGTAGTTCTGACGTTTATCGGAGCAGTTGTTTTTACAATCGTACTCACGTCCCGAGCAGAGTGGTCCAAGTTTGAAGTTGTTGAGTTAAAACTTGGAATTGCTCCAGATGAGCCGAATCAAAAGGTCATAGTGTTCAAACGTCTGGTCGGTTTGAGCTCTCGTGACTCAAATCGATCCGCCTTGCTGCAGCTGAAAGAGCAAAACTCAGCAAGTGAAAGAAGAAACGCAGAACTGAAGCTCGGTTTGAGTCGAACAAAGAATCAAACGACGTCTCGGTGACTCCTGACCCCATATTCTCCAAGTCTCTGATAAATAAAGAGGCATTTGGACTCCAGAGTTTCTGTGTGGCATAAATAAAATGGAAGWTATTTAAGTAGATGTTTAACATTTAGAATAAGTATAAATTAAGATGAAAAATAACTGTCAAAATATCTCAAAGTATTGAGCAGATTTGAATGAAACAACAATCATAAGATGAACACTGACAACAATCYATTTAAAGCCTTGGAAATAAAAGGGTTATAACTTTATTACTGAGTTAAAGTCTCACATTATAACATCAGGTTGAGTTTTTACAAGTTTTGACCAGAAAAGCTTTATATTTTTGATCCTAAGCTGATGTTTTTTTTGTTTGTTTTTTCACCAATAAGTGAACTCGTTTGAAAGATTCTGTAATTGTTTTACGCTGGACGCTGTCCTTAGGATTACTTATTTCTGTATGTGAGGTTAAACTCTAAAATAATCTTGATTCAGGATTGAACAGGTGAAATAACTTTGAAAAAATGTTATTTAAAATAACCAGTTGATAGATAAGTATGTTAGAATGATTATTATATTATTTGATGTATTACAGGCAGTGTAACATAACATTTTCAGTGTAATGTATATAAAAAAAATAATGGCGGTATGTTATATAATGACTTTGCTCATGTAGGTCCCTTTTTAGGCATTTGAATTTGTGGCACCAAAGTAAAATAAAAAGTTTTAAAAAATGTCACAACATGTTCATCATTTAGCTCACTTTGAGGAAAATATCCTAGTTAAAAAATTCCACTAACATTTTATTTAATTTCCTTTTACATTTAGC